AGTCAGCGCAACGCAACAAGTGTTTCATCCTGAATTCTTACTCTAGCACCTGGAGTAGGACGATTTGATGATTTCCAACTAAAGCACGAGGAAACCGAAATTCCCAGTTACAAGTACTAGAATTTATTTGCATACGGCTTGACAACCATCAGAGAAAAAATACTTAAACACTCAGTATTCTTATATTTGTAATAATGCAATATCAAGTCCTGTAATTTAATCATCAGTCTGTACTATGACTAAATGAAGTACGTTTTGCTAGAGACCGCCCACATTGATGGATAATTTGGTTTGATATGCATGGATTAAAGAATTAGCTACATAATATATATCTTTGAAACTTTGTAAACTGCTCTAACAACACAACTTGTACATATGGATCATAGAGGGTAATAGTTTCAAGCTACCACCAACCAGTCCGATATAGCACAAGTTCATTTATGAACATTTGGCGTACTGCAGCGGAATATATAACTAAGTTACTGGAATATAATTCAACTTTGAGTGCCAAAAAGCTCTCACTGCCAGAAGAGGATATCTCCGATTGTTGAGGAAACCACAGTGTAACAAATCGTTCTGAGATATGAGATTCAAAGGAGTACATTTATTGCAGAGACTGACATTAACTTAGAATCGATTGGCTCCATTAGTTACAGTTATTTAACGTCCCACCAAACACCATGTGTAACTTTGTAAAAATATCTTATAAGCCGAACGACAATACCTTCATGTTAGCTTTAAATGACTACGCTATGAATCATTTCTCTAGCTACATTTGAACCAACCATTATCACCTACAGATATTCAATCTGCACCGATCAGTGATAATGTAATTCAGCAAGCATTTTAATTTGTCATGGATTGATGAACAAGAATTGCTATTCAATAACTTTTACCGTTGTAAATCACTATTTACGTTAGACGATCGCTTGCTGCTTTCAAAACAAGTGATACCGAAATCCCCTTAACCTACTACTACAACTACAATCTAACAGCTGCCACCTAGGTTTGATTATTATGAAAATCCACAGCTAAGAGTTTTGCTTGTCGTTTGTATGTTCGACAGTTAAGGATTTCGTGGACTGTGGCGCCGACTTTCAACAAGCAGCAAAACCTTAAGAGTTCAGATCCACCTGTTTCGTGGAGACCAAATGAAGATCTGTAGTCCAGAGTCCACATAGACACAGCCAATGACACCACATATTTGGTTCTGGTTGACGCATCCTCAAAATGGTCAGAAATTCTCCAAGTGGCCCAGTCAACAACAAGATCCAACATCATTTATCGGAAGGAGATATGATGACCAAAGAGTCAAATCTTAATTGAATAAAGAATGAATGACCAAGAAAATAATTTATTCCAATGGCCAATTACAATTTCTCATGTTTATTTTATGTTCAATTTTGTACATAAGTATATTATTTTATTACATTCATTTGACTTTTCGTATTGGGTTTGATTTCTAATCACTTGGAGGATTAGGTCAATAATACGGTTTTATAAGTAGCCAGTGCTCAACCACATAATATCATTGAGTTTATCGATTAGTTTACATGGTATCGAAAAGTTCATCTCACTGAATCACAGAGGATATTATTATTAATCTTCAGTAAATTGTGTCAATAGTAAACTTTTTTAGGTGACGAGACTATACTACACTGATGACTTTGAGACGTATCACTCAGTCAGAGCAGTTTGTCGTAAAAATTAATTCAACTACAATATATAAACATTTTTGATGTGACTAGAGAACCTATACATAATGAACAGAATATTATACTAAACAAAAATACGTTATAGTTAGGAATTAGGGTTGAAGTTCGAAATACAGCGATGGAATACTTGCTCGTAACTCAAACACACTTGGTCATAATCTTCATCAAAGCAGTTAAAGTCGAGGCGTAATCAGCGTTTTAGATGAAATTGCACCAAATGTAGGCGTTTCTGGTAATTTAACTTATTTACTGTGTCAAACTTACTATGTGTTTGTACAACAGGTTGGCTTATCAGTTTAAGGCATAAAAAATTTTATTTTTGATTGAGATGCAAGTTATGTAGCAGTACTTTTTGAATGCCGCGTGAAAATTCGGGAGTTGCTGTCGTAGATATGATCGGTTCAAAGGCAAATATAATTTCAACAATGTAGCGTAGTGTTCTTCCGTATTACTTGATATTTCTGTATTAACATGAAGTTTAAACATTCCATCTATTTATTGTTAAAACTATACCTTGAAATTTTTGAAATTTACTTTTATCTCATTGAACACTTGTTCATTTGCAACAGTTTTCGATATTTTGTGTTCTTATTCTTCGTTTTAATTACTGCCTGTCATAGTGATGTTGACACACATTGACACAATAAAGGTTTTGGTCATCTCACGAATTATGGATTGAAAATTCATTTTTATAATAATTATAAATACTAGTATCAAGTTCTGGTTGTGGGATTTCGACTGGTTACTAATTTGCTTGGTTAGAAGTTTCAATCAGACTTAACTTATGCAATGAAACCTAACCTTTGATTTGAAGGTGTTGGTTTTCACAGGGGTTGCCAACATTTATCTTAAAGTTTTCTGGTAAAGAAGAAGGTTTGCCAGGCATTAGATTCTTCATCAAGTTGTATGCCTTTTCCAAGTACTATGCTGAAGTGACCAACGATCTTGTTTATGATAAGCTCCCTAGTTATATGCCAAATTAAAGTTTATGGGTTAAATGTATTCGCAGGTTCCATTAGGATTTCAGCTAAAATAATTGTTAAGTATGTCTAAAATAGATTCGAAGTTAATAGTCAGATCTCTGTTTAGACAGAAATAAAAGTCATATTTTGGATAATAACCAGTAACTTTGTTGGTCGATATTTTAGGACCGCCAGGCCAGAATAATAAAGACGACTCAGTTAGGATGTTCTGTGATTATCAGCAATAACTGCATAGAATTATCTGATAACTTTACAAAACTAATAACGTTTTGACTTGATATTATTTTTTCATATTTGACTCTTTGAAATAACTTCTAAAACTTCTAGAAGACATAAATAAATGTTCATACATAAAAGAAACTGGCACGTATGTGTCTGAGTGTCTTACTACTTGCCCATTGTTAGTAGTAGAGAATAATAACATTCAATAATTCATTGGTCCACTAGACATCATTAAATCCTAATTAAAAAATGATTAAAAATTGATAATTTACTTATTTTTTATTTGTACTAATCAACTGGCTAGTCGTTTAACCGTCAATAAACTGATCGAATAGCGTAAAAATTAGTAAAGAAATTCTTGTAAGTTATTATAAATATTGTAATATTATCATTGATTTATTTTATTGATTACAAACTGTATGCGTAGTTTTTATAGATTTAGAATAAATTGGAAGTACAACCTGTAATTTATTAATAAATCATACATGAAATGTAAACATTATGAATATCTTTAACATTGTTGTATTAATTTTAATAATAACATTATCAATAGATAAGTATTAAATGTAATCATTGTCAAATACAAGTTAATCTCTATAGACTAAATTACTAAGATATAAATATAAATATATACGTTTTTTGTTATCAACTTGAAAATACAGCTTAGTTCATTACAGTGGGCAAGAAAAAAAGCGTAAAAGAAGGAAGTAACTGGGTGTAAATGTATGTAAACACATATGTTGTTTGAATATTTTAGTTTTTCATTCAAACTGTAAAGAGATGAGCACGAGTGCTTATCGTAACAATACCCATGTATTTATTTATGCAAACATGGTTATTCTCATGATATTTCTCTGCTTGTTTTTTTAAATAATTATAAGTTTGTATACATGTAAAACACATACATATTTAACCAGATACACTGAAATCTTTAATATATTTGTGCGTATAAATGGTAGATCTGTGCAATTTATAAAACCAGTCTGATCTATTTCATCGTTAAAACCTTCAATGGGATACTAAGAATGAGCATATATAAATATTTCATTACGTTTATCTCCATGTATGCAAATGTACTATGCATGTAACAATGAAAATTACTGCTGGTCCAGCCAACAAGTAAGAATAGATAATTACTTATTCAATATGTGCATTAAATATCGTAAATCGTTGAAATAAATCACTCAAGCGAAATCAATTTTAAATTACTAAAGTGTTTCAGTTTACGTGAAATATATATGAATTTTATGAATATATGTATATCCTGGTGTTTTGTAACAATGAAATAAAGCCTTATTCTAATAAGCATGAGAAGTAAATTGCAATAGAGGGTGTGAACCATCAGTTATAGATCCACTTTTTAACAAAAATCCTAGGCGTTACTTTTCCATTGAGTCAGTAGTTTCTCACTTGCATATTAACAAAGTATTTAATTTTGAAAACCAAAGCCATATGAGGTAATGAGGGAAACCAAAGCGAAGTAAAAAACATGTGATAGAATTGAACTGGAAATTTTAAAAAGGCATGTAATCATTGACGGAGGAAGAATGCAAATACTTCTTTGTATTTTTTAAATACTAATATCTTATTGATGAATAAAACATGAAATTGATTCAATGCACTAGGTAATAAGCGAACTGGACTTAGAATGAGATAATTAGAGAATTATCACACCGAAGTAATAAAAACAATTTTTTGACAATAGTTCATGATTATTTGAGACATCAGTAAATGCAGTTCTGTTTTATTGATATTAGACTGAACTAATTCGGTAGATTCAATTTAATTAATCTTAGTCCTTGTCAAAGATTATCGCTTTTATATATAGTTGTCAAAAGGAACGTTTGGGAAGGAATATTTGCCGAATAAATACACTTCAACTAAATACATTCTGTGTACATCTTCTGAGAAGACGAGATACTACGTTTCTGTAAAATATAGATTTGGCTTTTTAATATTTAAGGTCCAATATTGATTGAGGGGATTAGGTTTATATGAAAATAGTCAAGGGATGTGGTGTTTTGTTTTAATTGTCATGTAACTCAAACATGCTTTTCAATATTACTGAAGAGGCGAAAGACTAACTAAATGGGTGTGAACGTCTAGAGAATCGATGGGTTCGTCCGTAATGTTGACGTTCCTGACTGGAGCTTCTGATGAGTTCACCTCTATCAACTAATGAGCTAGCATGTGCAGGACAAGGTTGTCTTGAACCAACTGATAAGCTTGACCGTGTTCCACTATCTGTTCCAGTAGATCCAGTTGTTGGTATATCCTGTAAACGCGGATGTACACGGATATTTGGATCATCACTTGGGAGCATCACCTGTTGATCTCGGAAATCAAAGCCCACTGTATACTCTCTGGCACTACCCAAAGTGATATCTGTTTGGGATAACGTTTTTCTTTGAGCTGAATGTGTTCGTATTGTTTTTGCATTACCAAAACTGACAGTTTGTCGTGGATCTCTGTTAGTTCTCCGATGTCCTTCTTGACCAACTCCTTGTCTTGATGAACCATTAGATCCATTTCCATATTTCACAGTTCCACTTCTGCCTATTCCGGCATAATCTGATTTATCTACGGAGAGGAGCATAACAATAAATGTAGTAATCAGTATAGCGAATTCATCAATAATTTTTAAACAATCATTCAAAAATGAAAGGGAAATCTTGATCTCGGCAAAAAATGTGTTTTTCTGTAAATTTAGATGAAACAAATCTCTTTGTAGATGTTTAGTCAAATCATACTGTATAGCTGATGTAATTTATTTGATTACAAATGAGGTGGTAGATGATGTAAGGTCGCATTTATCCGAGCTAGATAAACATGGTAATTTTAAAAGCGAATAAAAGACTGGATTATATTCAGAGATGTGAACTTGAATGTTACAGTGTGATGAACGCTTAAGGCAAGAAAAGAACATATCAAAACAAGATCGAGTGTTGTTACATAACTTGCTACTTAAATCAAACAGAAATAGCAAACGAATTGGAGCAGATAGATGAAATTATATACGCGTGGGTAGTACAACTAGCGAGTGTAAGCAATAGTTTTTCAGCTCTGTAGTCATACAGGAAAAAATATGAGAATAGTCTTAAAGACTGACAGCAGTCTGCTCATTAATTTGAGGGTAAAAAGTTACTGGTATTGCTTGTTCCTGCTTTTGCCTTCAAAAGCTGAATAGTGTAACGAGATGCATTTTAGGAAGTATTTTATTTAACGGTTTACTTTCACTTTCATCACTTAACATTTAATTTAAAAGCTTTTTCTTGTAAACTGTCTGCTAAATTCTTGTAAATGTAGTTACGAATAATGACATGTTATTTCATTGAAACAGTTATTTTTTTTGGCATTTTCCTTCTGATAATTTCAAGCAAACATTGGATATTTTTTTATTTATCTTTAAGTTTGTAAAGAAATGACCAAAACTGTTATTTTCACTTGAAAAAGATATCAGGATTTGTCCAATTTTCTACTCAGTTTATAGTACCGGATTGAAAAGTCTTGAGTTTTATTTCAAATGAATTTATTGAAACGCATAAAACGCGTGTCATCATTTCCAGTTTATTAACAATCTCCGTAATGAAAATCTGGAAATAGTCATTGGAAATAAAGATAACCAACACTCGATGCACTTGACAAAACTGGTTATCAAAACCGGTCAATAAATTCAATTAAAATGAGCGATTGGGTAGACCAAATGCCCTGAAATTGAACAGGGGTTTCTAACTTCAGATTCAAGAAAATAAGAACCATTTATTTCTGTGCATTTTTAATCAGTTGGCTTATCAGTGTTACCAGCGTTATGTTTAGGAATAATCAAAAACTCAATAAATTCTATTCACTAATTGACGATTCGGTTATAATTAATACTGTTATACTAATCAAAAATTATGACTAGACATGTATTGACCAAAGCTTCAACAGATCTTAAGCTTGTTAGATATCACGCGCTCAAGTAAAGTTCATTTTCTTTACACAAAATTCACAGTAAATCTTTTTGTGTTCCCATTCACTGCAGTAGCTTTATAGTAACAGTCTTATAGGAATTATTGATCAATCACATAAATGATGAATAAATTACTTCTTCCCCTACTACCTGTGATTACAGGAAAACAGTTAAACACTATACACATGGGTCAGTATCTGCTAAAAAACTAACATTTTTGAGAAATTAGGTTAACTGAAACTAAAGGAAACTAGAATCCTACAATGATCAATCACAGCTTAATTGGAATAGACATGATTGTTTAAAGTAGTTTATTCTTATAACAAAACTATGAAAAATCAATATGTTACCTGACTCGGCCTTACTAGCTAAAATGCTAGATCTTTGTACAGTGTGTGGTGATCGATAGCCCAGCCCAGTTCCAGCTGGTCCGGAAATTGTCGATCTAATGGCACTTGAAGCTCGGTGACTGGATTGATCGTAACGATGTTTCGGATGGTGGTGATGATGATATTGTTGTTGGGGATGAAACCCAGTTTGATGTTGTTCTTCTGGCAGTGGAGCATTTGAAGAATATGGCGAAGTCCAAGGTTCTGCAGGACTAAATTTATATGACCTTGAACGGTCATCTGGCCAAATTTCTAAAATAAATTTAAATATTTCCGCCATTTTTCTAGGCTCCAAAATATTTGGATCAAGATTTCTGGCAGAACTTGGTGAAGGATAGAATAAGACTGGAGCAAGACAAGTTGCTAGATTTTGTGTATCCATTTTATTCACTTCACAATTATTTGTTAATCGTTTAAAATGATCCAAGAGATACAGAAGTATTTCCTTGAATTAATATAGTAAATAAATATTGAATGGTTTGATAACAAATATATAATTATTCAAAAGGATCAAGAAAGAGAGAGTGTGTGATTCACCAAAGAGTAGGGAAGATTCTATGTCACATCAAATACAATCCTTAAATGTGCTGATGTTTGTAGATCGACTATGACTAAAAATCAATAAAAATGTAGTTGGCAACCAATATTGTGTCACTTTCTTTCTACAAATCAAGTGAATTCTATCAATTACATCCTTGCAGATTCTGACACGCATACATATACGTGTGAAATATGGGAAAAAATTAACTTTCACCGTAATTCACAATCCATTGCCTGACACGAACTGACGACAAAAATTATCTCTAAACTATACGACATCACCATATACTCAAAAAAGTAGAATTGTTTCTCTATAGAGCCTATGTATTCTATTTGTATGAGTAATTTCGAAGAGATGGTTATATTGATTATAATTCAAGTTATTCATCACATATATTTTTTTTCATTTTGAGTTTACATAAAATATTGTGATGAGTCATTCTTGAAGTTTAAGCGTAAATCGTTGACAAAAAAACCCAAAAACATTTAGATATATTTTAATCTAAATGGAATTGTAGTAAATAGGACTGAATTCCATATACTTCATATTTAAAAAAAGCGAATAATCAAAAAGCATAAGTAATAGAAGTAATAATTGCTTTTTGTCACGGAAGACACTGCATATATTGATTGTTCAAATCACTGGTACATTTCTCAAAACTTTTTAATGTATAGTGTAAACTCGACAACGAATATCATTGTCAATAATTAATATTGCAATAAGATTCTGTCTCAAAATTTTTGATTGGGATTGCTTAGTTTACTTAGAGATATTATATAATGATATAATGATTTATATAGTAATTGTTTAGTTGACATATTTCCAGAATGAACTATGCTATCAGATAATAGAATAATAACGAATAAATCAGTTTAGATTCACTTTGAAATGATCTTTTAAAACAAGATTGACAGCATGTTAATATGCTCATTGATAAGAAAAATTGGATATGTCTTGAAAAATAATCGACAATCTCCATATGAGAAGAAAGATGTAACAGAAATTTGATTTCATGTAAATAAGGATAGTGATCCGCTTAATAGCAGCAGATTACGAAAAAATCGAAACAGATTTTGCGCATTTATCAACAAAATGTCAAGTATAGATGTGTGAGTGATGTTGTACAAATGAATGAGGTTATGCTTATTGGGAAGTACAAAGTTTAATGATTACACTTCCAAATTTATCTCACAATTCCTTAATTACCTTGTTGAAGTGACAGTTTTACGAAAAGATTGACACTATCTCAGTTGTCTGATGGTAAAGTTTGTATTAGACAGCATTTGAATGATCGTAAATTTTGCACTTGTTTTGATATCTCTGTAGTTAAATCAATAAACGCGCCTTTGAAAGTTATCTCCTTCTATGTAAATCGGTTATTACATCTAAGACAATAAAGCCCTTTTGTTCCATCGATGCTATATTATTAGAACGCTCGCCAGATTAAGATGAAAAAGAATAAGTATATATTTTTCCGAAATGATTTTACATAGAAGATGTATTGTGTTTCTGTAAATCTGTGAAAGTATCTTAGAATAGTAATGCAGCTGTATATATATATATATATACAAAGCCATATATTCCACCTAATGTACACTACATATAACAATAATCTAATCTAATAGTCAAAGTATCTAGTATTACCACGACTACCGTAATTAGTAACATAATTATTCAGTAACAATATATACAGTCATTCTGTTAAGGTTTTGTACTGTTAACTGGCGTACAGGAATGAATTTTCGCAAACATACTCTCAAATTAATAAAATGATAATAAATAAATAATAAATTAATAATAATAATAAGAAGAAGAAGCAGAAGAAGAAGAAGATAATTAACCTCGTTTCTGTATACATGAGCAAGAGGGCATATTAATGTTCCTAGTAGTTTTTCTCTTCTCATTCATACCATTATTCTCAATTTTTTGTTCTACATTACAAAGAAGTAATTATGAATATCATAAACTGGTTTAAATATACATGTGTGCGTGTTTAGGAATATAGCATAATTTATACTTATTTCTCTATCCTTCTTCCTCTCTCCTGTACGAATACAGACCTAACAGATATAATTCATGTTGAATTTGATAAAACAAAACCCATATTCCTTACCAGTACAACATATACAACCATACATATAGTATTTGTTAAATTTTAGAAAGAAAAAAGTATTTTTTTTATTTGTTATGATTAATAAAATACTAATTGTGGCTTAATTTTATGTGTTAATTTACAAGATGTTTTTTAAAAATTATTCACAAATTTACATTAACTATTACAAAATAAGTAGATAGAAGCAATTAAGTCAAAGTGGCAGCACTGTTGTAAATAGCATTTTAGCAATAAGACATTTTATTTTTGTCCTCTGGGTATAACCTTTTTGATCTTTCATGTTTCTAACATTGTTATCGAGTGTTTAACAAGTGACTGTTTTAAAACGGTTACTATCACATATGATTAATTTTACCATATTAATATATGTATAGATATAAGATAATTTATTGTCAGTGAGTCTTACTAAGTTTAGTTTAGACTCAATGTTTGATTCTTCCGACTAATCGCTTGTTTGTGGGACGGAACTTATTTATTTTCAATTATCGATCGGTTGTAATTTAAAAGTTATGCTTTCATTAGATAGAAAGCTAAATAAAGTAACTGTTTTTACTTAAAGTTTCACTTTTCGGCCCAACTTTTGCGAGTATTTAAGTTAGTTTGTTTCATGCTTAGAACAGCACGTATAAGCGAACAATATTGTTCTGAATTAGATCCTAATCAGGCTTGACTCTTATCTACATGAATATTTATATGGAAACGTTAAACCAACCAACACAGTTTCAGTTAACAATCACTATGAAATAGACCATGTCACTATACATGACAGGTAAAAGTACAAGTTGGTGGTAGGAAGACATGTGTACTGGTAGTAGTAAGAATAATGTCAATACGATAACAAAAGTGTTATCAATAGTTCAACATTGGAAACAGTAGGTTAAACATGGATACACAGACTTAAAATAATCATCACAAAACATCAAAGCCATTATGTAATCAGAAGTGTGTAAATAATTAGATAGTGAAGACTATAAACGGAAAGAGGCGGAAAATTACAAACAAATACAGGATGTGAAAATAATGCTAATAATAACAAAAATAAAGTACAAATACAATTTTTTTAAACGTTTGTTAAGTTATATCCGACTACGGAAGGGATAACAGTGTCACGAATTCCTTCTGAACACATAAACTGGGGTTGGATTTACGAATTTCTATGACTTCTGCTATATGTCGCAGACTGGATCGAACTCCGTTGGGAAATGGTGGAGGTATACGATATACCATTCGAAATTATTCTGATTTATTTATATAATGACCGCTATTTATCCACGTTTGACCTACTACTTCCAATGTTGAACTATTGATAACACTTTTGTTATCGTATTTACATTATTCTTACTACCATTAGTAAACATGTCTTTCTACCATCAACTTGTACTTTTACCTATCATGTGTAGTGATATGGTCTATTTCATAGTGATTATTGACTCAAATTTTGTTGGTCGGTTTAACATTTTCATATAAATATTCATGTAGATTAGAGTAAAGCCTGATTAGGATCTGATTGTTCGCTTACATGTGTTGTTCTAATTTTCTCAGTAGGAATCTTTAATGTTTCAAGTTTGTAACAAAGGTTTCGTACTGGTAAAGAGTCGTAATAAAAATCTGTAATATATTCCTGAAGCTAAGTTTCAATTAATGGATACACAGATATAAATCTTCTGTAGGAGGTAGCACCTTTTGGCATTTTGATCAGCTTCATAACAATAGAAACAATGAAATTATGTTATTCAGTATCATTAATCCACTAACGGTCCAGAATTTGGTCTTTTATGTTGGATATCTGACAACAAAATCTAGATTTGGAGAGCCGAAATATTTCTGAGTGGTTTAAGTGCAAGATAACAAAGTTTTATTTCTTCTTGGTTTCCGAAGCTAATAAATCTTTGGATTCATGGTCGAAATTTCTCATTCTATTTCTCTGATTGTAAGTTCCCTTTTAATTTAATACTTTTAGATTGTTTTTCACTAATCATAAATCAATGCTTACTAGTCACAAGTGCATTACTTAACGTTTTTTAAACATTTACGTCCTAGTTTAGTACATATCAGGATTTTCTATTTATGGTTCAACATGATTTTGGATGTTTTACATAGCATCATATGAATTTAAAAGTTTGACTTTCGGTATCTTACTGCGTTTCTGATGTCATGATTTGTCCTCTATTATTCTTGTACACATGTCATTTAAGGAGATTTACTTCGCAACTTGTGACGGATTATGCTGTTTTATTAGCTTGATACAAATGTTTACCGATATAATTTTAATATGTTGATTCCATTTTACCACAAACTGATCGAAATGAATTTCCGAAAGTTCTGATAAGAGTTTGTTCCTAGTGAAGTCAACTAAAATGAAAATGATCAAGTGAGGCACAAACATTGTAGTTCAACACAATTTGATTGAAGACAAAGCGTGAAACTATAGGAGGTCATCTACACAGAATGCCAGTGAATACTGACATTGGCTAAATAGCATTATGTTAAATCAATAATCTGAAGGTTATAAACTCCATACCGTTTAGGAATGTAGGTGTATATCTGTGAAGAGTATGAGTTTAAGACAAAAAAGCTATTCAGTGGTTTGAATTAATCCATGATTCACCAGATCATTTCATTCAGTAATGAGACAATTTAGCATCACTACATTAATTCATCATACATGTTATTGCAACATTTTGTTAATTTATTTTTTTTTCATTGTAAATGATTAATCTGTCTTTTTTGTATCCTAGATTGACAATGAATAGAGAATCACTGAAAATAACTTTTACTGTATTCAGTAGCA